CAGAGTTTGTGGTTACGGTTAATTCCCACTCCTCTGCACAAATCTCTACCATACAGTTTTTATTTTATTAATCTCCGTACCGGTCATACATGACAAATTTTTAAGGGACGGATGTAGTATTTTACTACATTTTGTCATTTTTTTTTTGCAATACGTGTTATTTAATTAAAATTTGGCCCCACCTGAATGGCAATGCTAGATCCGCCCCTGATCATGCTCCTGCTACCCCGGTATAACAATTGTATCTTTAGTTTATTTCATGATTTATTAGTTCATTATGTTTAAACTACGAAACTCTTACATATTCATCCAGTAAATGTCAACACATGTACAATACCATTAAGGTACACTGGAGAATGTCTTTCTAATAGTTGACTAAAATACTTTTCCCTAATAACAACATTGTTCTTATTAAAAAGAGAAGTTGTTAGTAACAAAGTATTGTTTTGTTTAATGGTCAAAGCATTCAAGACATCGGTTTAGAGACTTTAGATATTAAAAGGAGATAGTTTTTGTTTGAAAATAAAAGGCATTGACCAGGGGCGGATCCAGATATGCAGGGTGGGGTGGGCTAAGCAGTAAAAGAATTTGTTAGAATTTGTTACTGCACACAAGAGGTTTAACTTAAGGCTGTTATCGAACCGAACTTTTTTTTGAAGTATTCAAGTTCTAGCATGATTTCGAATTTAATTTAACAACCCGAACTTAGCGAAGTTCAGACTCGAACACGGGCTAGATTTTTAGTTGGAATAGTTATTGAAGCCAAGTTAAAGCATAGTGATATTCGATTCGGTCCGAACTCAAGCCTATCGATAACTCATAAATTATAGGAATAAAATTTATATATCTTCACATTTAAATGTTTAAGTGCAATTTTATAATTTTTTTAATGATTATTAAACACTCTGGTATTTATTGGTATGAATTGAAGTACTTCTTTAAAGGTATAAAACTAATAAGTAAAAAGAATCGGTGTACATATAACTAATAAGTATTCCTATTTCACAATTGAATTGTGATTTTTATTTTTTTTCTTATATTTCCAAACAATAAATAAATCTAGAACTATTAGGTAGTACATAAATGTAATCTTAAATACAAACATGCAATATTTTACAAAAAAAACTCATGATTTTTTTTCTCGGTAGATACACCACTAAAATCAGTCGGGAGCCTTGCCAAGTTTTATTAAGGAAAAAAGGAAGTGCAAGAGGAGAAGGGGACAAGACCAAGACCTCTCCAAAAGGGCATACCCTTTTAAAACACAATGATAATAAAAATAGTGAATTTGGGCCATAAAAAACCCAATTAAAAGAGAAATGAGAAAAAAGGATACAAAAAAATTCATGATAATTATAGTAGTATTACAATATTAATAATAGTAATATAATATAATATAATAATAATCGTCAAATTACTGTTTAGCATAATAATTTTGTAAATTGATGTTGTAATATAAAATATAAAAGGGAGAATTTGACTTTGCACCCCACTTTTTGGGTGATATTGGACTTTGCACCCCATTTTAAAAAACATTTGACTTTGCACCCTATCATCTAAAATTTGTGAAGGAAAATTTCAAAATGGGGTGCAAAGTCAAAGGATTTTGAAGTGAAATGGGGTGCAAAATCAAAGTTTTTTTGAAATGGGGTGCAAAGTCCAATTTCATCCCAAATGTGGGGTGCAAAGTCAAATTCCCCCAATATAAAATACTATAACTTCAAAGGAGTAAGTGATGATGTTGTGTGAGTGGGTGAGATAGGAGTATTATACTGCATATGTAAAAAAAAATCTCAAATTTTCCCACACCGGTTGCAAATAATGGTTCATCCTACTCAGTGTCCTATAAAAGAATTGCTCCTTACGTAAATTGGAAGCAACGATGACTACAAATCTACAATAAGCCCCTTGCTCGGCTTGATGCTGTGGGACCATATGTTGTCATGGTTATGGCCTTATGGGCTTTTAATTGTTTGACTTGTCTTTAATCATGCCTTTGGGGTGGGCTAGACAATACTTTTAGGATGGGCTGGATATGTAACCAATACTAATAATAATAGAAAAAATTAGGTTGGGCTGGGCTAAAGCCCACCCTTGCCCCTTAATAAATCCGCCCATGGCATTGACACTTTTATAACATATTTTAGGGCATGCGCATTCTCTCACTCTCTTGTATTGTTATAAAAAATCACTCATTCCTTATATAATTCCCTAAGGACATCTATTAGTAATATATGCGTAGACACAGCTCATTTCCAGTCCTCGATTGGCTACTCTTAAAAAAATATGGATGGTCAGGGTCGAGGCCTATATCTTAAATTCTGGGCAAGGGTGGAGAGCCAAGACATTGGGCCAGATTGGTTCAGTACAAAACATATGTTTGAAAACAATTATGCACGAAATTGTTTTACATTAAAGATCAAGGTATTTTTAAAATTTATAGTGAGGATGGTCTAGGTTGTTTTTTTATACATATTTTTAAACTCTCCACCCCCTCCATACCCTTTTTCAGCATTTAAATGGACTTCTACTCTTTTGCAAATGCTTCTCAATGCTTATAATGTAAACAAATAAAAAAATAACCAGGGCAACCTGAACCAGACCGACCGATTTCGATCCCAAAAAGTGAGGCCCAGAAGATGAGAGGGACATCTTTCCCGATGGTCAGATCATGGTCTTGCCTCGGAACCTTATGTTCCGGTCCCAGTTTGAAAACCGGTCATTTAGCATACTAGTATGAGCTAATACATTATTATGCTAGATAGAAATTTTAAGATGATATATGATATTAACATCTAGATTATATAAAAATGGTAGCATGTGTACTATATACTTTCAGATAAGCACACACGCACACAACCTCATTAGTCAATTTTTTTGTGCAATTTCGATTTCATTTGTCATCCATATATACAGTGCATATGTTAGTTGATACCGTGGAGATTCTCACGACTTCTTTATAAATCATTATCATTAGAAATTTCTTATTGATAAATTTACATGTTCATTGCATACATGACAACTACTATACACTTATTAATTACACACCCTATGATAAATTATTGCTATTATGTCATTTACTTAGTGCTGAAAAGAAAATCTAATATAGTTTATCATTTCTTTTTAAAGTATACATATTTTACATGTTCTATTTACATACCACTAAAATCTTTATCATGACATGTTGAAATTTGCACAAATGTCAAACATATAATATGTTATGAATCACCATGTGGAGTCATTATTAACATTTTCTAAAATTTATTAATACGTACTTCGATTAATGCACTGATATATAATTAGTAGTAAAATACGCTATTAATTTTTTATATTTTTGTTCAAATTATTGGCATAATTCAAACATGATTAGTACAGTATATACGTATTATTAAGTTATTATTACACCTCTATCTGTTATATTATCATTTAAATGCTATATTGACTTATGAATAGCTAAACAATTAATATGTAGTCAACAGTGTTCCACTTATATATGTAGGAGAGAAATTAATTGTCTATATGGTATATTAATTAACTAAAGATATCAATTGTATATTGATGAAATTTTAATTTTGTTTAAAGAAAATTGAACGAATAATAATTTAAGAAAATAAAGGTTACGATTATTTGAGATAAAATAATGGGAAAAGGTACAAATATACCCTCTAGTATGAGCGTGAGAACAAATATACCCCTGTTCTATTTTTCGGAACAAATATACCCCTGAAGTATTTGTGAAAGTGCATATATACCCTTGAACTTTTTTAAAGGTACAAATATACCCCTCATATTCTTATAAAGGAGCAAATATACCCTTATTGACTTCAAAAAACACCAAACATAAATTATAAATTCAAATTTTAAAAATAAAAATTTTAAACATGTACTTGTGTCCAATTCTCCCTTTTATTGTTTGTAAATCACATTTAAATATTGTTATTATAAAATTTTATTTCAAAACATTACTATATATTTAAGATTTTTTCGAAAAAAGTGTTAACTTATGTGTTCCAATACAAAAAAATAATTTTTTTTGCAATTGTTGCACTATAAAATTACATATTTTGTATAATGATAAATAGTTCAAGATTACAAAATAGTGAATTTAATTTTATTAAGTTTGAGACAAGAGAAGTTGGCACGGTTATTAATAAAAGTGGGGTTATGTGGTTGATATTGAATTAATAAAGTAAGAATAAAGTAAGAATGATTTAGAACCACACAAACTTTCCCAAATAAGGTATGAGATAATCTTAGTGGGACGGACCGAAATGGTAAAATGGGACAATTATAGCGGGACGGAGGGAGTAATATTTTAATAATAATAAATCATTTTTTTAAATTTCGAATTTATATTTTATTTTTGGTGTTTTTTGAAATTTATTTTATCTATTTAAAGTCAATACGGGTAAATTTGCGTCTTTAAAAGAACATGAGGGGTATTTTTGCACTTTTTAAAAGTTCAGGGGTATATATGCACTTCAACATATACTTCAGGGGTATATTTGTTCCAAAAAATAGAATAGTGGTATATTTGTTCTCCCACCTATAGTGCAGGAGTATTATTTGTACCTTCTCCCATAAAATAATAGCTTTAGTTATTGTTCGTGTATAGCTAAGATATCTTGTTAATGTGTTTGTGTGTGTCATTATTGAATGTCATGCTTATGAAGAGATTCTTACTAAGGACAAGTAGTTTAACCGCTCGATCATTAAGTTCTATACAAAATCAAACAAATCTCCAATCACCACCATTCTAGTTCCAAATTCCATCCAAAAGAATGGCAAATTATAAACATAAATGGGGTTTAATTTTAGGACAATAATAATTATATTAAAAGTCCGGTTCCACTTTAATCAATTACTTGTATTATTAATTAATAACCACACTTTGAAGTTTGGGGAATCTCATTTTGATGGTGTATGTCTAGATTTTGAATAACATAGTGGGAGAAAAAGTGGAAGAAGAAATGGACATGGTTATGCATGTTCCGGCTTGGTTGGAGTCCTTACTAAAGATGGCATTCTTTGGTGGTTGTTCAGTCCATCGTCAGCTTCAAAACAATGAGTTGAACAACTTTTGCATCAATTGTAAAGTAGCTATATGTAAACACTGCATTTCACCATCTTCATCATCTAATGTGGGAATCAGCCATCATCATGGTCATAGGCTACTAAAGATTTATCGGCATGTGTACACAGATGTTGTTCCTCTTGATGATATCAGAGCACATCTTGATATCTCCAAAATACAGGTATATTCTACGTATACTATATCACCACCAGCATAAGTATGTGAACAAACAAGAGAACAATTAACAAAACTCACAATTAAATTATGGTTCACTCTACACACTAGAAAAAAATGGTATTAGTACAGAATCAGCACGGAATTGGCACCGAATTGGCACGGATAATTGAATCGTACGTTACATATATTAACATTCGGTTTAGTTCATTTATCTAGGTCAATCGCACATAAAATTAAGTTTTCTCAAATCAAAGCTAACCACATAATAATGGAATGCATTTAAAGTAAGAATGACCATTTTTAGTTGAAATTTCTTGTCAAACATGACCCAATTGGCCCAAGTTATTTATGTAGATGACTTTCCCAATTGTTGAGTGTATAGGAAGTGATATACAACAATATAATGGTGAAAATAAGTATTTTTAACAGTTAGGGTCAACACTATATATATTGACTGTATAATCGTGAAACTATTCAGATTGCGAAAATTAGTAAAATTAATTTTACTTCGGACATGCAATTCAAATGAGAGATTCAAAATCCACAAAGTAAAAATTACAATTAGCAAACCTCGATATTTTCATTTTGATTATCTAAATATGTATAGCTCATTAATTCCCATTTTCTCTGAAATAATATACTCTTTATTTGCACTCTGTTAATTGGAAGATTAGGCCACTTACCATTTCATTTAGTACACATATTTGATGCATATAGTTAAGACGAGACGTGTGATTATTTATATGTTTGTAGACGTACAAATGCAACAAGAAGTGGATCATATCTTTCAACCCACTTCCGCACAACGGTTCAGGATCTCAATGTTCAAATGTGAGAGGGACTTGTTATTCTTGCAAACGAAAACTCCATGATCCTCATCTCTATTGCTTTTGTTGTATTGCATGCAAGGTATTCCCTATTATGAACAATGGCACGGGTAGGAGGATATACCAATACAAAGAACTCATAAAAAAATTACATTGTAAATGGACGCATTTTTAAAACATGGAGTGGGCCACGGCCTAATATATATTGCCCTCTAATTACACCCCTGATTAGAAATTGCATACTTGAGGGATATGACAGATAACTTTCTAGTAAACCGCATTTCTAACATTTCGTGCATGTCTTGTATTGACCAATAGCCAATTAATACATGCATCGTTGCATAGTGTTGACCCTAAGATAGTACTCTACATGAATAATTGCATTTCTGCTAATCAAACGGTGCAATGCTACATGAATTTGTCACTACATGAATTTGTCACTGTGATATAATATTCCACATGAAGAGTGCAAGAGCTTGGTAAAAGGATAAGGATAATATATTACAACAATAATTAAAGAATGTAAATTGTGTGCAAAATATATGATGGACTCATCACCATTACCTTATAATGACAATGCATTGATAAGTGGGTCGTTATACATATAAAGTATATAGTTGTACACTAAATTGTACTTGTACAACAATACAAATGTCCAATCATGTCTCACAAAAAAATCAACAACTAAAAAAAGTCAAAATGTCGATCTCATATATGAAACTTACATAAATACACAAAACACTTAACGATAAGGGTACGAGCATTATGTTGTGTTATGTAGTAAATTTTTGTGTTCTCAAAACAAAATGTAGTAAATTTTTGTGTATTATAAGATTAATTTAAATTTCAGGTGGCAGCATGTTCAAACAAGTCGATGATGGAGAATAGCAGCAACGGTAATGGAAATCGGATCCTAGTAAATTTCCGAACGCACAAGAGAAAGAGGAGGAATCCGCAGCGTTCGCCTTTACAATAAGCTTGTACTATATTAACTTTGGAAAGTGGTAAACTGCATGCATCGATTGCAAGGCTTGATGACCGAATCCAAAACATCCTTTTATGTGCTATATTGGCTTTTATCCAAAATTTAACTTGATTATCAATATTATTTTTAAGTGATTGCATTGGATTGATGGCATAAAAGTTTAAAGCTTGAGAAAATTTCTCAAATAGAAGTAATGCATATGTAGTATATAGTAAGTTTTCTCAAATGAGATACTATTTTTTTAAGGGATAAGGGTCAGATAGGGTCTCGAACTTGAAAAAAATTAAATGTCAAATAAGGCCATATTTAGGATGTTCTGTCTGGCCGACGCCATTTGGGGCGGTTCCCGATGGAATTTTTTGAATAATTTTTTTGAGAATCTTATTTATTAAGTCTAGTTTACTCATATCAAATTTGAACTAAAACTTCAATCGGGAAGACATTCAAATGAATTCTTGAAGATAACTGTGCAGTTAAAAGCGCAATTATCTTCAAGAATTCATTTGAATGTCTTCCCGATTGAATTGGTAGTTCAAATTTGATATGAGTAAACTAGACTTAATGAATAAGATTTTCAAAAAAATCATCAAAAAATTCCACCGGGAACCGCCCCAAATGGCGTTAGCCGGACATAGCAGCCTAAATATGGCCTTATTTGACATTTTTTTCGAAGTTCAAAGCCATATCTGACCCTTATCCCTTTTTTTAAATCTAAAATATGACTCATATACTCCTATTTTAGAAACTCATTTGCGTTTTACTACTATTTTGAACAATTTCTTTTAAAGGTTTGCTTAACATCATGTTTGGTATTACTACCTCCGTCCCATAAACATGTTCCCATTCACTATTCTAGTCGTCAACTTAAATCACTTTTAATCTTTTACTTTATATCAAAAGTTTATCAGACTTAAATTTTCTTGATCAGGTTTTGTAGCGGTTTTAATGACGTTTCTGAATATGCAAATTTTATTTACTAAATAAATATAATATGAGTGTGAACAGGGATTGAGTTGCTTTTTCATCAGTCAAACCTCGTAAACAGCAATGGGAACTTGTTTATGGGACGGAGGGAGTATTATAATTGATTGAATCGGTCAAATCTGTTGAAATTGGTGAAATTGCGACCGAATTGGGTGAATCTACTAAATTATGAAAATTATTTCAAATAAAATTAAGTGCACTTGCTCCAAATTAAACCAAAGCATTATACACTCCGTACAATGGTTCATGTTCTAGACAAAATTTGTACTAGTATATCACTTACTCCCTCTGTCCCATTTCACAAGATGTCTTTACTATTTACTTAGTTAACACAAATCACTCTTAATCTCTTACTTTATATATCAAAATTTTATGAAAAGTTGAATCATTTTTTGCAAGTTTTGTAGCGGTTTTAATGCAGTTTCTAAATATGTAATTTTTTTTCTAAAAAATTTTTTTGAGTGCAGACAGGGATCCGTTTGCTTTATCGTCGGTAAAACATCGTAAACCGAAAATTACCTTATAATGTGGGACGGAGGGAGTATATCTTGTTTGTGTACACGAACAATTGGCAGACAATTATTGGGTTTTAGCAAATTATTTGTGTACACATACAATCATTGGGTGTGTGTGCAATTTGTGTAATAATTTTGTATATAAATGTAATTTTTCTATATATGATACACCCACACTTATGGTTGTAAGAGCATCTATAATGCAAAAATGTGAACGATGCATGTGTGACATAAGAGAGATACACACAAAAAATTAATAAGTACTCTGTATAACACATCTCTCCTGCCTTCTTTGAATGGTCATGTATATTTTTGTTATGTTTTTGGGCCCAATGTCAAACACAATGTCCAGATGTGGACATTGTAATTGATATTGTAGAGATAAACTTACCAAAATTTATAAAACCGTAAAAAAGTGAGAATGTGTGAATGTATTTCGTTATGTTCATCTCTCTCATGTTAAATATGCAATGTATACATTGTAACATTGAAGATGGTATAAGATTGTCTCAAATCATACTACATAATTGATAAGATTTGTGTGATTCCAATTATTGTTACTTTAGTTTCACTTTAAATTCAATATCAATCACATAAAATCATTTACTTGATAACACAATCACATCCGCTTTGTAAGAATGTTAGGAAGACGGAACACGAAAGTAGTATTGTTTAAAAACTTAAGGGTATGTTTGGTTCAGGGAATGTCAGATTACCATGAGAATGTTAGATCACCTACCGAAACCAGTACATCTTCCACTACCCCTTTTGGGAAAACAGTTGATCTATCAGTCAATTGAATTACGACACCGGTTTTATTTAAAGGGCCAAGGTTCAAAGATTTCTAAAGATTATAGGGGATCACGTTAATTGATGCACCTAAGTTTAACATGGCCCTAGAAATGGTGTCTCCTAGCTTGCACGGTATAGTGAACATGCTTGGGTCATTACATTTTTTTGGGAGTATCCTTTGAAAAACTGCCGAAACATGTTCACTAATTTCAATTTTATGTTTTCCCTTTGAGTGTTGTGTCCTTTTGATTGTGCATAATTCTTTTACAAATTTAGCAAATCGAGGGACACTTTTAATCAAGTTAAGGAGTGGAACATTTACCTCACACTTGACGAAGGTCTCATAGATATCTGCATCTCTCCTTGGCTTCTTTGTTTCCCTCAGTGCCTCAAGGAATGGGGCTATTGGTTCATATGATGAAAGTGGAGGGAGTTTTGCCTTTGTGATCCCCTCCTCTGATTGAGCTTCTTCTTCATGATCAACCTCCTCAATTTCTTGATCGTTCTTCTCTACCTCCTTCAATGCCGTCCCACTTTTCAACATATTTGCATTCACATGTTGTCTCGGGTTTTGCTCCGTTTGAGATGAGAGTTTACCTGAGTCTTTTGCTTCAAGTCGGCTCATGGCATTTGAAATTTGGCTAACTTGAGTTTCCAAATTTATTATGCTTGAGTTTGTCTCATGTTGGAATTATATCATGGTTTGTTGAAATTGTCCCATGTTTTGTTGCATGATAACCATGTTTGAGGTCAAAGTTCGGATCATGTCATTAGTTGACATACTAGATTGAGATGGTTGTTGAGAAGATGGGTTGGCTTGTTCATTGTTCCCATATCTCAAATTTGGGTGATCCCTCAATCCAGGGTTGTAAGAATTTGAAAAGGGATCATACCTTTTTTGTTGATATCCTGGGAAACCCAATGCGTTGACTTGCTCTTCTTGGAGTGATGGACACGAATTAGTGGGGTGTCCGGTTGATGTGCAAACTCCACAAGATTTTACCTCTTGAATTTTTGGCTTAAGGAGTTCTTTTATCAAAGAAGTCAAGCCGGCAACTTGACTTTCTAGGGCAGTTGTGCTTGATTATGCAGCAAGAACTCTTCGGGTTGAGGATTTTCAGCAGAAATGCCGCGATTCTCGGCCAACTCTGAGATCAAGCTTGTTGCTTGTGAGGGAGTTTTGTTAACAATGCCACCTCCACAAGCGACATTCACCATTCTTCTATCATCATCAACAAGACCATCATAAAAGTATAAGATGAGGTTTTGTTCAGTGTATCCATGATAGGATAGCTAACAGATAGCTTCTTAAATCGTTCCCAAAATTCATACAAGGACTCATCATCTTTTTGTTCAATGTTGCTTATTTGCTTTTTGAGAGATGATGAGATGGATGCAGGATAGTACCTTTCAAGGAAGCATTTTTTCATAGCCGACCATGTGTTGATACTTCCTGAAGGAAGATAGAAAAGTCAATCTTTTGTGGTGTCCTTCAAAGAGAATGGAAAGACCATCATTTTAATTTGTTCCTCCGTGACACTGTTTGGGCACATGCTTGTGCACACAATATGAAACTCCGATAAGTGTTTGTTTGGATCTTCACCTCTCAGACCATGGAAAGATCGTAGTAGATGTATGAGCCCAGATTTTAGCTCAAATGTATTACCTTCATCAAGAGTAGGAAAGGTAATACACAATGGTTGTTGATTCAAGTTTGGAGCTGTGAGCTCCCTCAAGGTTCTTGTTTTGAGAGCCATGAGGAATGACTCTTCGGATTCGCTAGAGCTAGAGCTAGCTAGCGTTTGAGGATTCCTC